CCCATGTTCCAGCTGGGAATTGTAGCCGTTAACTTATAACATGTCATCATGGCACCTTGCGAACCCACCAAGAAGAGAACATAATTGTAGAAAGCCTAAATGATAACTTTTAATGTGATCTTAGCTTTATAGTTGTTAGTATTGCAAAACTAATTTCTAATCTGGAATTAGGCAGAATACATGTTGAGCGAAGTTGTCCTGAAGACAGGATTTTTAATGGGGTTCCATTTTCGTAATAGTAAGAAGGCTGACATAATCCCTTTAAAATAATTTAATCAGTCACCTTTCTTAAATGAGTCAAGTGATTGATAAGGTGTGACTATTACAGATGCACACTTGTAATTTAATTTGGAACAAATGAGATGTTAACATTTAAAAATACTATGACCTATTAATTTTTAATAAAGATTGACTTAAAATTACTTTATTCTTTTTCTCTTGACGCTGCAAATGAGGCTTGCTGTCTTTCTACAAGAACGCATTACAACTTGACCTGAAAACCACATTAAAAGTGTTGTGGGGTTTTTTTTTTGTACTGCTGAATAGCGAGTCATTATTTCCATTTTAGAAGTTAATCAACTTGAATCTAATTAATGCAGTGGGTTAAGCAGAAGCTGCTTTTAATTTCCTTTCTGCTTAACGTCTGAACCGACACAAAGTAATAGAAGAAATACTGCCTCGTAACGTTTTGTGTCCATCTTTATAAACAGACATATGTATGCTTGCATTGTCTACTCTTTAGTGCTCTTCTACAATATAATTTAAAATCTGTTAAGTCCAGTGTTGTGGATGAAAGTTGTCATTCCAGCTGGTAGTTGCTGTCTTTAGAAGTTGCATGTCTTAATTTGTTGTTCTTAGCAAGTGACAGCATTTTGTATTTTTTTTCAGACAGCCTTGATTGTGCTTCCTTACTTCCAGCTATTTAAAGATAAATAAATAGAAAAGTCAATTTCTCGAGGAGAAGTAGATTCATTAATTGGTAGGACTTGATGTTTTTCTGAGTGCATATTTATATTAGCTGCATTTTTTTCAAGATAAGGAGCTCATAAATCAAAGTCAAAAGGGTTCTCTGGCTGCAGGCCAACCTACCATTCTGGGAAGAGATGTTCTCATTCATTAAGAATGTTACAGAGGAAATGAGGAAATGCTCTTGGAAATGCTCTCTCCTTCTGTCAGGATTACCTTAACCTTCCTGCGGTTTAACTTCTAAGCTGCAGTTCACCCAGTTGGTAATTTCAGCTATTCATAAAGGAAACTGGAAGTTGGCTTTGTATGCACTGAATATAAGATTTATTAGCCATGTATTTTTGTAACTTAAGTCGCTCTTGCATATCCAGCTGTATCCGATGACTTTGCATGCTGAATGAAGTGAGAGAGCGTAGATCTTCATGAAGCTTAGTGCTTTGGTGGAGAAGGAAGAGTTAAATATGCTTACGGGGAGAATTTGGGTGGTTCCAGAGCACTTAGGTTGTTATTCACACTGTTTGGTATGGAGCGATATGAAAACCTGCAAATTTAATTTTGGTATCTTCAGAAATGGGAAATGCCATGTGCAGTGGCAGTCAGTAATAGATTACACTCTAGCCTGGGTGTTTGTTTTTTTTTCTTTTAGCATCCATAAATGAAAGGCATCCTTGTGGCTATCACTGGTGGAGGTGCTGGTTCAGGAAATTCTTGCAAATGTTTGGAGGCTAAATGGACTTTTGGTCTAAAGCAGCTGTACAACCATTTGCATATTTTCATAGCGTTACTGCTTGTTCATGTCAGGGCCCTGAGGACACCACCAGCCCTGACTATCCCTGCCCAGCCCCCCTGGGGCTTCCCTCACCCTGCCCACAGCCCAGGACCCCATTTCAGTCCCCTCAGGGCTGTCAGTCCCTGCCCCAGCCATGCTGCAGCAAAGTGCTGTCTCTAGCTCTCCACAGCCCTGCCCAGCCTGGACATGGGCCCTGCTGAGCCGGGCTGATGTCCCAGACCCGCCTTGGCCTGTCCCTGTCCCCATGGCCTGCTTGGCCATCCTGGATTGTATCTTTGCCCTGGTTACCCTCACCAGGCCTGACCCTTTCCCACAGACTGACATCCTGGCCTGGCCTCAGCCCATCCCCATGGAGGTGCCTGATGTCCTGGGCTGGGGCTGCCCCCAGCCTGCCCTGCCTCCCTGGGGGAGCCCCCATGGCTACCAGTGCCCTGGCTCCCGGAGAGATGTTGGTCCCAACAGTTCAAATGGAAGAAAATGGAAAGGAGTGTGGTGTAGCTGTGTCTTGTTCCTGATTTCTTCTTGGTTTTCAGAAAACTCGAGTGCCTTTCCTTAATATTGTAGTAGTCCTGACCGTGGGAAGTCCCTTGTTGTGCATTACCCCGAAAGCAGCCTGAGCACTGCTGCAGTCAACCATCCAAAACATCTCTGCCTAGCGTGGCTTGGTGCTGCTGTGGTAGGGAAGAGGCAGCAGTGCGGTGGTGTGGAGTTTCTCCCTTTTCTGCTATCGGTGCTACTTTTGTGACTGCTTTCTTTTTAGCTCGGTTTCTTAACGAAAAGGAGGTTTATGTGATAACCATTTTTTGTCCTTCTGTATTGGCTAATATCAGTCATCACCAAATCTCATAATTCTTTCAGGTTTCACGAACGCTGACGGCTAGAGGTTCAAACGGGTGCCCTCAATGAAGGGGAATCTGCCTTACGAATTTATGTTACAAAGTTGTAACTTGTAGTAGGCATGATGTGCCTTGTGGGAGGGTGGTAGGAGCGTGTTGCAGGTAAGCTCTTCTGCTGTCTGCTGCAGGGCCTGTTAAATGTACCTTGTGCCTAGACTGGGGTTCTGTGGAGGCAGTGGCTGAAACCTGGGGGTAATTGAGGATGGGCCAGGGCAGGATGGATGAAGTGAACCTTCTGAGGTGCGCGATGTTTGCTGTTTTCCCATGTGAATTTTGACCTTAAAAAAAAAAAAAAAAAGATGGGAAAAGTGCAGGCAGTGCGAGATAGAAGTACTTACACACTCACTGTGGAAAAACTGCTCAGAGTTCACACTGTATTAGATCTAATGTAACTGAAAAACATGGCGTGAAATGCTTTTGGTTGGTGCTTGGGTGCTTTGTTAAGAAAATAATAATTGACTAGCCACAGTAAGTTTTCTATTTCCATTTTTTTTTTCTTGTTTTTCCAACCCTTTGCTGCTTTATTAGTAGTGGCCTTTTTTGTTGATCAGAATTTGCAAAGCCCATGTTATTTAATTTACTTTGGGCATTTACTTATTAAGGCTTAGCAAGGATAACAGGCGTTCTATGCAATGGAAAAAGAGAATAAATCCATAGAAGACAGAAAAGCCATTGTTCTGAAATGTCATTAAATGCTGGCAGGCACCTTTAAGAAAAATCCTGCAAACAGTTTGAAACTAAACCTCATCTTTCATTAATAATTTGAAATGTGAAAGAAGAACGTGGCAGTTCTCTGGTTACCGAAAGTTGAGTTTAGAAGAGTATGTTGACATCATTAAATGCTTGCTGGAAAAATGGATTGAAAGAACCAGGCTTTGAAGTTTAGAAGTTGTCCTTTCCAGCCTGATGGTGGTGATCTGGTTAAGAAAAACATGGTTTGGTGATGCTGACAGAATCACTGTCTGTAAACAATGTGTTTAGGTTGGCTGCAAGTCTTAACACTTATTATGGGTGAGGACTTTGGAAATAATCATGCTGCCTTAACTCTCTTATCTTTAGCATCTGGAGTACAGGAATACAGCATATCAGTGCAAATAGTTAAAGAAGCTGTTTTAAAATGCGCTTAATAAAACATTGAATGAGCTTAGATTTCAGGCTGAGGTTAAATGATTGTTTCATCTATATTGGAGTTTCTGATCCACTTTAATAATAGAGCTGGCGGACATTTGAACAGAAGAGATGGGCTTGTGCACAGGCAGGGCTATGCTAAGCTTAGGGAATAGTCATTAGAAAGATTCACAACAGCAATTCTAAAGAAAATCTAGCTAATGTGAGAGAGAGCACAGCAGAATGCCAGGATAATAGGTGTTTCGATTCATGCTTTTCTTTATGTCAGATTCTGATTTTTTAATGTCAAAGTGAAAATTAATTAGCAGATCGTTTCTGAGGAAGGAGAAGGTGCTGATTCTTGGTGACCCAGAAACCTTGATCCCTGTGGATCCAGTGGCACAGCTGGAATTGTTGGGTTTTGTGCTGCAAGTGCAGTCTCAGTCATGAGCAAAAGCTCAGGACAGGTGGGGTCTGGTTTCTGCTTTGCAGCATCTCTCTCACCTGGCTCTGCAGTCAAGCTTGTGGGCCTGGTTTTTCGAGTGCTGATTAAAATTGTAAAGTGTACACTAACATTAACTCCTAGGTGAGTAATGGTAGATATACTTTAATTTCTTCTAAAATATTACAATTTTTTTTTTCCCCAAAAATGTCTATGAAAATTGTGTTTTCCTAATCTAAGACACAGCTTTTAAATACCATTATCTTGTGGACCTCCAAGAGTTTTGATTTGCTTGGAATATGTCTAAAACTAGTTAAAATATACGTGTGGTAATCTTGTTTACTTATCTGGAAATAATACTGCCACATCAAGGTTTTATTCTTGGATAAAAAGGATAATTTTTTTCATGGGAAAAAAAGCAGCATTTAGCACTACTGTAATTTTAACTAATTACAGGAGAGCGTTCTCATGGAACTCTTTTGCCTGTGTTTTAGATGCTTTTTATATTAGGAGATGATGATGTTAAAAATGCCAATGTTCTCCTTTAATATCACGTGGAGTTTTTGCAAGTCCTTTTTTTGTTGCCTAAAAACATAGTGTGATCATACTTTGTCATAGAATCAAATACTCATTTTCCATTATAAAATGCCATATGCTCATACATTTTGATTTCTTTCCAGAAGTTTCACGTAAGCGCTACTTTTGTAATCTCTTGGATTTTCAGTTTAGAGTGGACTCATTCTCCCTGCCATAGTGTATGGTCTTTTGCATCATAAAATCTTATGGTTTCTCTCCATAGCTTCTGCAGAAAAAGACACAATCAAGAATACCTACTCCAAAGTAATGGATGCATATGGGCTCTTGGGTGTATTAAGATTAAACCTTGGTGAGTAAAATATGCAAAACCTTAATTCTTCATTTGGGAAAGAAAATTGTGCTGCTCCTGTAAAACTGCACAGCACAGGATCTTCGCAATAGGAACTGGGCTCTTTTTTTATTTTTATTTTTTGTCTTTGTAGAGTAACTTGCAAGTTTGGAGCACTCCCAGAAATGAGGGAGTGGACAAAAATAACTTCCGTTTTCACAATCCCTGTTATTTGCAGCATAGTTTCGTCTGTTTGCGTTTCCTTTTCTTCTGTAGAACTTGAGAACGAGTTCTTGATGTTGGTTCTTTTTGTACTTTCTTCAGGCAAACTGGGGTCACATTGTGTGCATTTAAGCATACAAATACATCAACATCACACTCCACTAAGATTCATTCTGCTACCTGTGCCTTTTCTTGTTTTACAGGAGACACATTGTTACATTATCTGGTTCTAGTAACAGGATGCATGTCTGTGGGAAAGATTCAAGACTCTGAAGTTTTTCGAGTTACTTCCACTGAATTTGTATCGTTAAGAGTTGATTCAACAGATGAGGATCGTATTTCAGAAGTGCGCAAAGTTTTGAACTCGGGAAACTTTTATTTTGCATGGTCTGCAACTGGTGTCAGTTTAGATCTTAGTCTCAACGCTCACCGCAGCATGCAGGAGCACACCACTGACAATAGGTTTTTCTGGTGAGTTCATAATGCGTTTTATCAAACATCATGTAGAATAATGCATGCCTGTATAAACTAATCTGTGGCAAGTTGTTATCCTGGAAACAGACTGGGGTCTCTGTTGAAGTCAGTATTTCAAGGCTTGAGAAATGATGATGCCTGTTGACCCTGTCCAAATAAGCTTGGCTGATTTTGACCCATCATAAAACTTCTTAAGTTACCTGGCTTTTCTTTCAGTAAGAATCAGTCCTCGCAGGAGATAGATGGAATGTCCCAGATTCCAAGATCTAGAAATGTAAACACTAAGTCAGTCACAGAAAGTATTCTGCTTATGCACTTCAGTAAGCTTTCTTGGGCTTTTTCTATTAAAAGTTCCAGTCTCAGATTGCCCAGGGAAAGAATATTGTTTGCTTTCTCAGTCTCCTATTGTAATGTATACTTTTCTGTAAAGTGAATGCATACTTGATTTATGGGATTTGAATCTTCGTTAGTGATTGAATTGAGGTGTTTGATAAGTTGCAGATTTTTAATTTTTTTTTTTATTTGGAAGCTTAAAATGAAAAGGCTAAAATTAAAGTGAATAGCTTCAACCTTTATACCATTGCAAATATGTTATTTGCAGTTATGGTAGAATTTTCTGGGTGGTGACAAAACCAGCCGTCTTACTAGAGATTGCTTTTCTTTGCTATGCAGAAAACTTTACTTCCTTTTTATGCAAGTGAATGTTACCAAAGAAGATCAAAACCAAGCCCCACTAGAGTGAGGTAAAACAAAAAAACTCACAAAACCCAAACTTTAGTCTTATTTACTTACTACAGTGTTAATTGGTACTACTTAATGCACAGGTATATCCAAACTTGGATCTTTCTTTCATTTGAGCAGTAATTGGTATTTGGAGAACAGTACATGCAGTATATAATGTACCAACACTTAACCCTGAAATTGATATTTACAGAAGTTTGAAAATCAGTTGGCTATGAATGCATTCCTGGAAGCTTGTCTGGGCAAGTGATACATTATGGTGATGTATAATAGAAATAATCAATGTATGTTGACAAGAATTTTTTTCTAGCTTTATTTTATGGTGTTGTGAAGTTGAATGGTGCTTTACCCATCACAAAAAGTAACCCCATAACTGGAATTCTGGCTTGCTTTTCCCAGAGTCTGTAATCTTTGGATTCTCAAAGCAAGGCTGAGTGGAGAAATATAAACAAGTGTGGAGTGTCGTTTTTTGCTGGGTGAAGAGCAGAGGCTATAAGGGTTCTTTTTTTAAGGTTATTAAGATTCATGGCTTCACTCCATATTCTTATTGTGCAAATGTTTATGCTGTTCTCTTGTAAACTTCGCTGTTTCAAATAAGAGTTACATCATCAAACTATAACATGCATATTTTCCTTTTCTTATTTGTAGTAGTGGGCTTAAAATACGAGAAGTTAGTAGCTGGCTTAACAATTTGAACTGTATTTTATTTCTTTCCAGTTATTTTTTTTTTTTTTTTCCCTGATAGGAACCAGTCACTGCATTTACATCTGAAGCACTATGGTGTGAACTGTGATGACTGGTTGTTACGTCTCATGTGTGGAGGAGTGGAGATAAGGACAATTTATGCGGCTCATAAGCAGGCAAAGGCTTGTCTCATTTCACGACTAAGCTGTGAACGGGCTGGCACAAGATTTAACGTCCGGGGAACAAACGATGATGGTCATGTTGCTAATTTTGTTGAAACAGAGCAGGTATGTTATGCTACAGTGCACATCGCTTGGCTGATGAACTCAAGATAAGCCATGTGTGTGGGTAGTTTTTTGCCGTAAATCAACAGATCACAAGTCAAGTCCGTACCAACACATATTGGAGTAATTCCTTTGCTGCTAAATAAGGAATCTAAGTAGGTTACATAATTTGATGATCTTTGTTTTTAGTGTAGCTTAGAGTAAGGGCATGCATGGGTCTGAGTTTCAATAGCTTAAGAAGCTGTTGTCCATCAGCTGAACTGTTGTAGGTGGCTGTACTTCCTTTTAGCCTCCTGAGCTGTAGGTGAGTGTATACTTCTTTTGGCCTGAGCTAATAGTAAAGTAAAAGACCTTAGAAACAAGCAAAAGAGATTTTTGGCAAATACACGGTACCTTGTGGTTCAGGAAAGATAAAAGCATTCCTATGGTTACTTGGCACAGTTCCTCTGAAAGGTAGTTTTTAAAGCCACTATAATTCCACAGCATTTGATAGCGTATCTTTGCCCTTATTATACAGAAATGCAAGAAGCTACTAAATCATTCTTTGCTGGCCTTTCTTTGCTCACGTCTTACAATAAACTAGTTAACAAGATGTTGTTCCTGCAACTGTATTCATGTGAGTAGGTATCTTTGGTTGACTCACTGACTCTTTGCAAAGCCTAAGGTGACTTCAGTAGGATTTTATCCAGGAAGCGCTCTGATTGTACACATCCAATGTCAGAAGTTTAGTCAGAACACTGTTACTACAGTTTCTCTGTCCAAGTTTCCTGGCAGACTAATGTCCCTAGATGGTTGTGGCATATCATTTCACTTAAAGCTTCCTTTCCTGTATACTTAATGGACCATTGTATTTTGGATTCTGATGCACAAAATCTGTGCAGGTGTTCTGAGTAGGCTGCATTGTTATTTTCTGTGCATTGGTGTGCATTTTTACTGTTCTACAGGAAGGCCTTACCAAGTTTTTTAAAACAAGTTACTCTTAGCACAGAAGTCATTCAGGCCCAAATAATAAACACTTGCTGTATTTTTTTAGACGTTGTGAATCATGATTCTGCAAGAAAGCGTGAGAGTGGTAGAACTTCTTTTATGAGTTTTTCCGAGGGAATAGAGAGAAAAGCCTAGGAAACAAATATTTTAACTTGTAGTGTGGAATATGTAATATGTAAATATATTTTATTTACTCTATGTTTAGCTAAGGCTAAGAAACCTAAAACCTTACACTCTGTAATACCTATTAATACTATGCTTTTTTTTACAGGTGATATTTTTAGATGACTCTGTGTCATCTTTCATACAGATTCGAGGATCTGTTCCATTATTTTGGGAACAGCCAGGCCTGCAGGTAAGCAGGAGATAGATTTAATTATACAGATAATTCTTATTCATGTCTTTTTAAACATCTTACAGCAACGTTTAGGCTCTTCTGCACAGTTAGGTACCTGTCAGGATGAGGTTATCCTTTGGGAGCAAGTTGGTGGTATTGTTTAATTCACCAAGCCTGCTGCTCTTAAGTCTCGGAATGCTGTTTTGCACAAGTTTTGAATGTCCGTTGCTTTTTAGATGTTTTCTCTTTGAAGTTCTGAGTTTCTCTGTTTTAATTTAAATTGCTGTTTTAAAATAGGTTATCTAAGGGCACTCAAAGAGACTGTTTTCTTCTGAGTTGTTCTTGAGGATAATTTCTTTTCAAGAAGTCAATGTGAATCAAGAGTTACTGTAATATAATTTCATCCCAGTTTTCTTGAAAGAGGGATTGTATCAGCAACTACTACTGTGATACAATTTTTACAGGGAAGGTTAAAAAAGGTTGATGCCTCACAGTGATTCTAGGTTCTTTAAACTAGGCTTATAAGCATTTTGCAATAGAACTGCTGAAACATTTACATGCCTTTTACTCAAAACAAGAAGTAATTACATGATATAACTAAGTATATTAAATAAAAAAGTGTTTTTTTAGAAAAAAGAAGAGGAATTTAAGAAAAGCCTACAAAAAGAATGCACCATAGCAAGCAGAATAAATTTTAGATATTTAATTTAGAAAGTGAAATGAATTTTTAGGCTGTAATTAGTATCAAAAGAGGTCTTTGAAGAACGATTACTTAAATGTGTAAAGACAAATCATTTCATGTAATCTTCATGTCATAGGTGGGATCCCATCGTGTCAGAATGTCAAGGGGTTTTGAGGCGAATGCACCAGCTTTTGACAGGTGAAATAATGTCTTACATTTTTGTTAATGCACTACAAACCTCTGATAAGTGGTGCATCAGAGGGATGGGATAAGTTACTCCGAACGGGAGGCTTTGTCTATGCAAAAGTATGATTCAGCAAAGCAGCGAACTGCCTGGGCAGCTTTTTCAAACTTCTACAGGATTTCTTGTGCCTTTGAGTGCTTTATTGAAAAGTTTGAAGAAAATTTAAAATAGTGAAATACTTTGTTAAATTGAAAACAAAAATTATAGCATGTTTACATTGAATAATCTATATTTGTCAGCTGCTGTATAAAAGTAAAATCTGTATTTTGATTTTATTCCTGCCATGAGACTTCAGCTTCACAGCCTTATGGTTTTAACTAAATGTATGTTATTAAATTGGTGCTATTATCCTAATTAAATAGCAGTCAATGGTTGTATGCTATTATTGAGTTATATTGATTTGTTTGGACATGACATAATAAAAGGCTTGTGGCCGTTATGAGAGTACCCAGCACATTTCTGCAGCATCAAAGTCAGTGTTGCAGGTGTTTGTGTTAATATTCTGTATGCCAAAAGATGAGAGTGGGATTCTTCTTCTGTTAACAGGCATTTCCAAACTCTTAAAAATTTATATGGCAAGCAAATTATTGTAAATTTACTTGGGGCAAAAGAAGGGGAGCACATGCTCAGCAAAGCTTTTCAGGTGAGTATGGCAATTCTCTCACTGTGGATATCCTTGGAATTTGCCTGTTTGCGATGAAGCTTTTATATAGCCTTTGAAAAACGCAACAGGTATGCTATGCTCTGGAGCAGCTACTACTTGTGGTTAAAATTGTATTTATCATAAAAGCACTGCTTAAGATACATAACGTGAAATTAATTTTTAAAAGCTCTATATACAATTTTGTGGTTACTTTACTGAAAAATTGGTTACTTTACTGAAAAATTATAACAGCAACATAGACAATGTTGAGGGATTTTGAGTTGTTTTCATATTTCATGCTTATTAGTGGCTTATTTAAAAAATAAATCTTTTTGCACTATAAAATTGGTGAATAAATGAATTATACTTTGTGGTATTTAATACTGTGATGTTTCTTTTAAAAATCTTTCCCTTGGAATTCCTGTATGTATTCCTTAATATTTAAAAAAATGTTTAAATTGATAAATTAATTTGTGATAAAAGCTGCTTCATGATTAAATAGAAATGTTTGTTTAGAAGATGTTAACTGTAAGTGGCCATTTTCATGAATTCTCACTAGTTAGGTTAAAAGTAACTGTCACATTGTAGTCCATAAATACTGACAATTTGAGAACTTCTGTCTGAAGCCAGACAACATGTCAATAGCCATCTGTTATTTCCCTTTCCCTTTTTCTTTTTCCCTTTGTATTATAATGGCTGAATATCTTAGGCCATTCACTAGTATCTTTCCTGTATCCAGCAATCCTGGTAGGAGACATTAGTGCTCCCAGATGCATATCAATGCCCAATGCAGATCATAGTTTTGCCAACAAAGATTGTGTGAGCACTTCAAGATTTTTCAGGGAATATTAGGGAAAGTTTTGCTCAAGCCCCCCTCCACAGCAACCTAAATAATTTGTCTGGTTTTTTCAGTAGTAGTTTATGGAGTGTTTACTCAGTCTCCATTGCTGGCAGTTAACAGTCTAAAATGGTGACTGTTAGTGAAAGGAGTTTCTACTGAAACAGCTCTTTGCAAATTGAAGCATTTTAACGGTAGAAGAGGCTGTAGACTGTCTTGGTGACCCTAGTACAGTAAGGAAAAAACCGACTTTGATTGTGACAAGAAAAAGAAAAAACACAGGCAAAATACTAATCAGTTCCGAGTGATTTGATGAACAATAGTGATAAAAATGGTTTCATTTTACCTAAGAGAAAGCATGTAATAAACAAGATGGCTAATAAAACAGCTTTAAAAATATTTGTAGCCTCTTATTTAGCTTATGCTACTATACTTTTTTCTTCTCTTTTTACAATGTTAGAGCCATTTGAAAGCATCTGAACATTCAGCTGATATCAAAATGGTGAACTTCGACTATCATCAAATGGTTAAAGGTGGAAAGGCAGAAAAACTACACAGTGTGCTTAAACCTCAAGTCCAGAAATTCTTAGAGTGTGGATTTTTTTATTTTGATGGAAAGGAAGTTAAGAGGTTTGTGTGTATAACTTCTGTAAATTTCTTCAAATTAAATTATGGTTCCGCGATGCTTTTCACCCCTTAGCAAGAAGATAAGAGAAAAAACTTTGCTTCTTTATTGTGTTACTGTGTTTTTATTGTATCCAAGATGATGCTCAACAACTGAAATATGAGTCACTTATTTTAGTCTATTAAAATTTTGTTTCGTTTTGAATATTCTCTAAAAATCTTAATGGTAAATATCTCTGAGATGTTGATGGGGCATGACTTAATTTAGGCCTTTGACCTCATGATTTTGGTGAAAATGGGCAGTTGTCCTTTTTCTTGGGTGCACCCACATGGGATTAAAGAATGAATAATTTTCCATCTTCCTGTATAATGTTATTGATATTTTCCTCAATGATGGAGCATACCATTTTCTGTTTGTTGTAAATGCTGATGTTCAGTGCAATCTTTTTCTAAATCTGTTTGCACCTGGATCCCCCATTTGAGAGATTCAGTTCTCCACAAAGTATGAATGGGATGCATGTTTTCTGCCCTGCTCTGTACTTCCCAGTCCTGCTGTACTTGTACTTCTGTCCCTATTTCCCCACCCCTCTTCCTAGAGCAAAGGCTGTGCTTTATAGGGAAGCAGAGCTAGAAATAGGCTGCTTTTCTCCCTTCCACACCCTTCCTCCTTTTAATTAATACCAGAGCAAACTGCTGAGTAAGGTTCTCCGTGAGAAAGAGAATTGTGGAGTGAGGGGATTGTGTCACGTGCAGTGGGGTTTCATCTTCTAGTGCAGTGGGAGAGGAGAAGAGGGTTCCAGTGCCACTCTGTGCTCTAACCTGGCTGTGGGATTAAATCCCCCAGCGGCAGATTTTAGTAGGCCTGAATAAGATTAAATTTAGTGGGAGGGTGCTTAGGTCCCATCTCCACCTCAAAACGTCACTGACCATTCTCCAAAAAGCTTTAAAAGGTCTTGGGAGAACACCATTTGGTCTTGATGGAGATTCAAATAATATTATCACCTATCAAAAAGACTGACAACAGAACTAAAGCAAAATAGGCTGTGGCTTGTGATAGCTTGAAGAATTGCGTTAATAAAAGATACAGTGATGATTTTTATAAGTTCACGGACCATCTCCTTTGGAGAATGTCAGGGTTTTTTTTAACACAGATAGCAAGTTGCTTTGTATTTCAAATCAAATACAGAGATAGTAATGAAAAAAAGTTCTTCAAAACTTTCTACAATTTATTGTTAGATCTCCAAGTAAATGTGATGAAGCCTTACTGACTTAATTGGACAAAGTGTGTAGTGGGAATGACGAAAGTAAGGAATAACTGTGTATCATTGGGAGGGCCATCAGAATTTTGTACTCATAGCCAGGCAAGAAGAACATGGATATTGCCTAATACGATCCTTTTGAGAGCTTTATCGCATGAGTTAATGGCCTTCTCTCAAAGAAGGGGGAGCAGTTCAGAGTGCCTGAGAGCCTCAAGCATCTGTTGAGCTAAGGAGGAGAGGCTTATTTTTCGTTTTTATTTGGGGAGGAAAGAGAAAGTAATGAGAGCTTGAAAATGGCTTTAGTTTTATCACAAATTCTTGTTACTTTTAGTTTAGTTGAACAAATCCAAGAACTGCCCTAATTTTTTTTTTTTTCATTTTTGTTTTAACTAAGAGTTATTATTTCCCCCTGAGATTCTTGGGAAGTGTGTTAGTTGGATTGTTTGAGAAGAAAACTTAATCCTGCATAACACTTTAACCAAGCAAGCAATGAGAATTGAGAAAAACTGAAGAAGACAGACTCATGTTATTTGCAGAAAATAAATTAGTTTTGTGTAGTGAACACTGCTGCAAAATTCACTGCTGTTATTGGAGCTAACCCTCTATTGTGGACGCATTTATAAACATACTTGCGATGACAGTAACATTGCACTGACAATACCCTGATTTACTGTTCTGGTTCAGATCTTGATGTCCCTGTCTTTGTTGATGATATGTGTGTTAAATGAGTTATTTCAGTTGTTTTCTCTCTCTGTCTCTCATTGTCCTTGGCACAGATCTCAAAGCGGTACTGTCAGAACAAACTGCTTGGACTGTCTGGATAGAACAAACAGCGTGCAGGCTTTCTTTGGCTTAGAGGTAGGAAAAGCAGTGTCCAGATACACAACTGCTCCTGATGCTTCTGTAGCAATTAGGCTGTAAAAGTAGCATTACCTTCCCTATGAAAGATGAATTAAAATGTTTCGTAGATGGCAGTTTGATTTATAGCGTGATACTTTTCTTGTTCTGGGGCAACCAGATCTTAGTAGTTACAGAAGCAGTAGTTTTGTGGTAGTTGTAATTAAACAGTAGCCATGCAGCATTATGAAAAATGTTCATTCTTTTTTAGGTGTCAGTTTCTTATGTCCGTTAAAGTTCAGGCTTGTAATTCTAGAAGAGGTAGTAGTGTTGTAGTCCTTCACAAAAACACTTGCATTCACAGTTACTCTATTAGATGAAATTCTTCAGCATGTAGGATTACTGTTCTTAGCATCTGTCAGTGCTGTGTGTATATATTTTCACAGCACTGTGCTTTGAATTCTTCATGGGACAATATCATGTTTGACACTTTGGCCACACTCAAATTGTGTAGTTGGAAATTAACCATGGGATTCAGTCCTCCTGCGGGTTTGTGCTTCAGCATATTGGCTTGCTATTGAAACGAAGGTTCTAGCCTGCAGGCTTATACAGTAGAGCTTGAACACATGAACCTGATAGGAATCAATGGAGTAAAATAGTACTGATTGGGCTAAAAGAGTAGCTCTGAAAAACTTTTGACAGCTCCACTCATCTTAATAAACTAAGTTTGACTCCTAAAGATAAAATCCTTAGCATGTTTAAAAATGACAGATTATGGGTGCTGTAACATCAAACTAAGTAAAAGGATTATTCTTTTGTTTTCTGAATTTTATTTAATTAAAATACTCTTGTTTTAGCACCTCTAGGAGGAATTTCTGTGATAACTGCAAAATCCACTGGCTGTAGAACAAACATTTCTGATTATGGAATATGTAGTGCTTTGCTGCTGTCTTTACCAAGTGAACACTGTTGCCATTCAAATGGAATACTGAACTGTTTACCCTCATGCAAATACTTGGAAAATTTTCTCTTAACATTCAACATCAGTACATACTGTAGTAGATGCAACACAGTTTGAGAGATCTAATGCCTTTTTTCTCCATTGTTTCAACTCTGCATGTACTATAGGGGGTCACATCTTTTAATTATTAAAATTAAGAAAAATAATTCTTATTCTTTTCTTTAGTTCACTGTGTGTTGAAAAGGGTAGCGGCATGCTTTGAAAATCTCACAGCATTGTATTGCATTATGTAGTTTGTATATCTGTCCATCCTCTATTGACTTTGCCATGGGAGAGACAGGCGATTACCTTAAAGTCTTTCCTGGTCCTCAATCTGTTTGCTGGAGATAGAAACGCAAGCTTGAAGTAAGCAATTAGGTTATCTTAAATGAGCCATGAGAAACATTGCCTCTTGTATTTTACTGATAATACAGTAGTATTCTATGGCAGAAGAACAACTCTTTACACACTTTTAATGTGTATAGTACTTAATATGGCAAACTTAGCTTTGCAGCTCTATTTTTTCCTTTCTTATCCTTTTAAGAAGTGGATTAAATATCATCTTTTTTTTTTAGACCAGGTATGCCACATTCTTCCTTGGTGAGAGCTAGATTATGATTTCAGCCGAAATATGAGAGCTAAAAGTATAAAACTTCATAAAATTAATAAGAAGGAAAATTGTAAATCCTCATGAGCTGCTTACTTAAAATTCTATTTAAATGAGATATTTAAATTCTTAATTTTTTTAACATGATAGATATTTCATGTAACAAGTACTAAGCTCTGGATGACCACCTAAAATTACAAGATGAAGCACCCAATTTCTGAAGTTTCTTTTCTTGTTTATTTCTACTTAATTTTGTCTGCCAGTTTCCTTTTGTAACTTTTGTTGATTTCTGCCCAACCTTCAGAATTTTGCCTTTATATCATTTTATGTTCATCATTTAGACTGCTCCTTCTTGCCGTTGGACCAAAAATAGCTTACCTTGTAACTAGTGAATTTTTAGGTGAAAGTATTTACAATTCAACTACATAATTTTTTTCCTATATTACTACCTATCTTTAAAAGAAAATGAAATGCTGGTGCTAAAGCTAGATGTACGATGCAGCCTTTCAAACATGACATGGTGTCAGTTTGTTCAGAATGATACATATAAACCCAAGATAATTTTTTGTGCATATATGCTGAAAAAATATGATGTACCTTTTAATAAATACATTTAAAGATTTTTCTTTTGCAAATGTTGTCTTCAACTGTTGCAGATGCTAACAAAACAACTGGAGGTATTAGGATTAGCTGAGAAACCTCAGTTGGTTACTCGCTTTCAGGAAGTTTTCCGATCCATGTGGTCTGTGAATGGTGATTCTGTCAGTAAAATTTATGCTGGAACTGGAGCCCTTGAAGGAAAAGCTAAGGTAAAGTACATTTTATTAAAAACTTCAGCAGTATTCAGTATGGGTTTTAAAAAAATCTGTCATTAATATAAGAACTATGAGGTTTTCTTTTTTAAAATATGCTTTTGTTGTAATCCTAAAAAAACCCAAACAAACAAACAAACAAAATTAACATAAAAAGGTTGATTGTGTTGATAGGGCAACGAAGCTGGTGAAGGGTCTAGAGAACAAGTCTTATGAGGAGCGGCTGAGGGAACTGGGACTGTTTAGCCTGGAGAAGAGGAGGCTGAGGGGAGACCTCATCGCGCCCTACAACTACCTGAAAGGAGGTTGTAGCGAGGTGGGGGTTGGTCTCTTCTGCCAAGTAACAAGCGATAGGACAAGAGGAAATGGCCTCAAGTTGCGCCAAGGGAGGTTTAGATTGGACATTAGGAAAAATTTCTTTACTGAAAGAGTGGTCAGGCCTTGGAACAGGCTGCCCAGGGAAGTGGTAGAGGCACCATCCCTGGAAGTATTTAAAAGACGTGTAGATGAGGCGCTTAGGGACATGGTTTAGTGGGTATGGTGGTGTTGGGTTGATGGTTGGACTCGATGATCTTAGAGGGCTTTTCCAACCTTAATGATTCTATGATTCTATTCTATGATTCTATAACCGAGTCTTGTTTCAGTGCATCCTTTCTCAGCCATGCCCATGCCTCCCAGATAACATCATTCTGTAGGAAAGGATGAGGCTCAAAACTTTTATTTCTTTAGAACATAGTTCAGAAAAAGGTGTATTCAAATCAACTTTGGTTTCTTTGAATATTTTCATTTTCCTCTCTGTACCTCTACTCCTATTGTTTCAGTTTCATTCACTGTATCTCCTTTCTTTTAAAATGTGTTTCACTGGACGTTGTTCATGCTTTTAGCATTTATTAACAGTGTTAAAATTAAACAGGTTGCAGCTGGGTGGTTTTTGTTTGCATGTTCCTCCAGCTATTTCTTTTTAGTTTTTCAGTTACTGAAAAAAACCCCAAATTCTGTTTCTACCTTTCTTTCTAATGTTGTGATAACAATTCTGTACTACATGACAGTGTAATGCTCTGTTTCTCGTCAACTTGTTTTGTCTTTGTTGGTGCCTGAGTTGTTCAGATTTTCTAATGCTGTCTTTTATTTTTCTTTTAACAATTTTGCTTTTTTTGTTTCCATAATTCTCTCTCTTATCAGGTGATACCTGTCAAGACAAACAAATTTTGAACCATAGCGATTTTTGCCCTTAGTTCCTTCAAGAATTTCTTTTCATACTATTCTTTTTATTCAAGAATGCGCTGCTTCTCATTCCATATTATATACTATGTACTCATAGTCAACTGTTTCGTTTTTCCATCACTTGCTCATTCAAACCATATCAGGGTCCTTCTCTGCATATATACAAGGTATTGCAGTAAGCTACAGAAAAAGAAAATAAGTAAAATAGACTTGTTGCATATTCTACCCATAATTGATGCATACAGACTTTTTCATTTGGGGATTACTTGTATTTTAGTGTAGAGTGGAATTTGGTTAAAGATGTTTAGTTTTATTTTCTTACAAAAATGTCACCCAGACCGTCAGTAAAACTACAGTAAGTATTTTATGGGGTGTCTCCACTTCTCCTGACTTTCTCATTCAACCTTACTTGTTTCTTTTCCTAAATTACTAGTTTTCTACCACACATTTGGCTACTTAAATTTTTTACTTTGTAAAATGCGTTTACTGTATTTACACGTCCTTTTTTAATGTTTAAAACACAGAGTACATTTACTCTGCTGTCTTTGTAGTAACACAGGATCCCTGCCCTGGTACAACTGTTAATGAGTACCATATCTCATAAATCAAACACAGCATCCCTGACAGAAGTCCATCTATTCGAAGAGGATCTTTAATACTTGCAAGGCCATACAATCCTTGCCATTGTTTCAATGAAACCTGACCAGGTCACTACTCAATATCTTCTTGAGTACTCTGATAATATATTTTAAAATGTAGTTTTTAAGTTGTTAGTTGTATTCTCATTTCTCAAATGAAAAGTTTGATTGTTGAAAGTCTTCCATTTCTTGCTCACCAGTTTGATTCTTCAAAGTCCAAGAGTACTTAGAAGTAAAAAATATGGAAATTTAGGATAGGAGAAAAAATATTTTAACCTTAAATGTGTTAATATACATTTCTATACTGAAAAACAGTCCTCTTTAAAGTATTATAATACTCGTTACATCTAACTCCTTACCTACTCTTTCTTTTGCTTTCTCTGGGTTCCTTTCAATTAATTGCCTGATATGTGAATGGTGAGTGTGGTTTTTGGATTATGTCATAAGTTTTACATTGTGTGACAGAAAGGGAGCAGCATCCTATTAAAATCCTATCGCAATAGTATGCTCCCCAAACACCTCATCCACATTGTCTTCCAAAAATCATGGTGCCAATTTACTACTACTTATCCTTGACAAAAGAGTAATTTCTTTCTTGTTGTCTAGTACAATTCATAGAACTAAATAATGGGTTAGTTTTGTAGTTTTCTTAAGCTTTTGTCTTTTTTTTTTTTCACATGCATTTAAGAGACCTTCATGAACAATGCAAGCTGTAAGCTTGGAGTATTTTTCATAATAATATAATACCATGCAGCATCCCTGATGGATTACGGTCTATATTTCATGTACCTGCAATAGCATGTGTTTATATACACCTCACAGGCAAAATACATTTAAATGCATAAGACACAATAAACCATGTAATCAAGAAAATGTCTTTGTGCCTGTCATTGTCAGTGCTGTGTACACAGATTAACACTGCTGGTTTTTGAATCAAGTATGAGACTGCATGACATGTTGATTACATTATCCTCTAGGAGTCTGACCCACAGGGAATATCTGTAGTAGCAGTACCTCTCTTGGAGATTCTTGTTTAGTTCAGGTAGTTGGACACTGTTCTTTTGGAGCACTGTTCAATTATGCCGCTTGTGTGCAGTGTGTGCAACGGCAGTGTCTTCATATGTAGTGTAGCTATAGATTAGTGTATATGTTCCCTCTGGGATACTGCATGAGACTTGCATGTTATTCTGAAAAGATAAGGGGTCTTAGTAAGTTGAAGCTATCTCTTTTTTTAACATGGCTATTTCAGAATGTGAATTCTAAACTAATATGTTCATATGTACATATACATACATATTCATGTATCATGACATTTGGACTCAAGTGCTTGCTCATCTCTCACTATTTGGGGAAAAGCCCAAAATCCCGTATCATAGTCTGAACATGGCACTATATCAATTTAATTTTTGAAAACCAAGGGTTTGGGGGGGAGGGGAATTCCCCACCCTGCAGTATTTTGTTTAATTTAAATAATTTAAACTGGAATAATCTGGTTGTTAGGTATGCCTTGAAGGTATTACTGTGTTATTTAGCTTTTGGAGGGGTGGAGGGAGTAAGCATACATAGTACAGTAGGCTCAGAAGGCCTTTATTTAACACTTAAAGAAGGAAATTGCCTTAGGTTTTAAAATCATTAATGCAGTTTACAAATATGTTACTGAATATTGCTAATGTTATTGTGAGCAGTGTCCAACATAAAATGTTTTATACATGTTCCTCCCTAACAGGCTGGAAAGCTGAAGGATGGTGCTCGTTCTGTGACCAGAACGATTCAAAATAACTTTTTTGATAGCTCCAAGCAGGAGGCCATTGATGTTTTGTTATTGGGAAATACCCTAAATAGTGATTTAGCAGATAAAGCACGGGCTCTCTTAACCACCAGCAGTTTACGCGGTATGTGTCTTTCAGGATTTTAATCTGTCTGATAACTATTTGGTGTAAGGAGGCTGTATGGAGTCTGTTTTCAAAGCAATATTGGAAAGTATAAATGCTATTTTATGTTCTGTTGGCTTGTTAAAAGATGAAAGTTACTTCTGCTTTACTAATATTACCAAACTAACATGCTGCAGTAATTTCTTTACTGTTTATATTTTGTTGATGTCTGGTGGTGTAATAGTTAAATCTCTGTGGAGCATATTTGTCAGAACTTTACTGTAGATGCATGTTAGATATTTTCTGTTCAGTTCTTCAAATCCATTTATAGCAAGTGTTAATCATGACAATTATGTGGTGAATTTGGGGGGGAAAAAATCCTGATTTATTAAAATATTAGGTTTTTCTATTGTTTGCTAAACGTCTTCCTTAGTATGATCTGTCATGTCAGTGAAGAAATTCTCACTGTGGTGTTAAACTAGTTAGAAAGCATTTATTCTTTTCTCAAGCTTAAGAATGCTGGTATTTATCTTCATTTTGGTTTCTAAAGTGCTGAGGAACAAAAAGGGTTTTAGTAATGGAAGACAATTTAAGATAACAGGAGCTATCAGAAAATTCCTGATGAATGATTTTCCATCACAAAATGGTTTTTTGTGAGAAGTTGTCTTTCCCAGGAACACACCACAGAAGTTTGTCAGGCTGTGGGTGAAATTCTACATCAAAATCGGAGAGATTTCCATAAGAAACTCTGCTTAGGGAGAGTAGTCATGTGGGACTTGGTCTGGTTACAGGAAGGTGGTTCACCTAATCAGAAAAGGGAGTTTGAACCACAGCATCCTGCATCCCCAAACAGAGGTGTAGCCTACATGGTCCCCAGGAGTTCAGTCATGTCCCATCCTTCTGTAGGTCTGATAGGCAGGGAAATAGTAAGTAGGGCTTACTACTCTAAACTAAGTGTTTAGAGTACTCTCCTGGGATATAAAAAATAGAGAAGCTAATTCTTGGGCAAAGAAGGAACTTAAGTTTGAGCCTTCTTTCCAAGATCCCAGGTAAGAGTGTCCTAAATAGTGGGTTATTGCTGTTTTTAGGAATTAATAACATTCTTAATTTCTCCTTTTCTTCCCCACTGCTCCCTCCCCCCCCTTTCTCCTGGACACTTCTCAGCCTAGAGTGAGAAAAATGTGTCAAAGCTTCAGTGCAAATCTGTGGCACAAGAAAAAAAATTCTTGCCCAGTTGTAGTCTTCATCTTGTGGGTATTTGTATATTTCCTGAAAGACTGTTTTCCTCTCATTTTTTTACCACAAGGTTTCATGTTATTGTAACTTTTCCTGTATCTGAAACCTGCTAAATCAGGCTCACCTCAAAATTAGTTGAAAGTCGTTTTCGTTTCTTCTCACTTTTTCTATGAATGCAAGCTGTCCTTTTAATATTTGCAGCTGCTGTCAGCTGAGGAACATTAATCCCTCTTCACTGAACATAATGTCTTTGCATTGTCTGCTAGGTGGTGAATTAACTAGAGAGATACTTCATCATACGTAAATAAATTATGTGTAAATCAGTCATCATAAGTAAATCAATTATTAATAAATCATTATTAATAAAGCAAGAAAAGAGAATTTGTTAATATTGTGAAACTTTTTAGATTTTGCAGCATAAAAGATGTGCTTTAACTGATGTAAATGGTTATGTGTAATAAATTGTATATTACAGCATGTTGTCTCACGTATTGCTGGAAAATTTTAAAAAACAATTACTTATTTGACTAATTTTTTTCTTGTTTCCTTCTTACTGCATCCGTAGTTTCAGAGCAGTCATTACAATCAGGTATAGTATAGTAAATTAAGCTGTAAATATCTGAGCAGCTATTGTTCTTCTCTGGCTTTTTTCTTGTGCCTATTTGCATAATATTTGGTTGTGGGCTTACATTTTCCTAGTAGTGTTTGG